TTTCGACCTCATGGCTTGGTTCTTGCTCTGACATACAGTGTAAACTGTGGGACCTTATATAGACAGGTGTGTGCCTTTCCAAATCATGTCCAATCAATTGAATTTACCACAGGTGGACTCTAATCAAGTTGTAGAAACATCTCAAGGATGATCAATGGAAACAGGATGCACCTGAGATCAATTTCGAGTCTCATAGCAAATGGTCTGAATACTTATGTAAATAAGGTATTGCAAACATTTCTAAAAAAATGTTTTCACTTTGTCATTATGGGGTATTGTGTGTAGATTGCTGAGGATATATATATTTTTTAATCCATTTTAGAACAAGACTGTAACGTAACAAAATGTGGAAAAAGTCAAGGGGTCTGAATACTTTTCAAAGGCACTGTAGGTTGGATAAGTGGATGTATAGATGAGGAGAAGTTTTCAAAACATGGTTTTAGATGTCTAGATTGTGCATTATGATGTTAATATGCCCACAAATCTAGCTTTGCAAATACGATACCCAACAGAAGAAGCATTAGGCCAAGTATGGAGACAAATTAGGATTTTAATTTGTCAAAGTTAGACACACTTTTAGGAAACATTTTTGAGTTTCAACTGCAAATGTTTTACATAAAACATGTTAAACCATACAGTGAGAAGTTAAGGCACTTATCATCAACCAATAATTTACATATTTAAAAAATAAAGATTTATGTTTTGATCCTGGACATATGTTTAGGTACATTTTTTAAAAATCACTTTTGTTTGTAACAGCTCCTCCCTCAGAGATATGAGCAATTATCATAATGTACCAATGACAAGCAGAACAGCAATCTCCAGCTTAATCACTGGCACTTTGGACATTACGTTTGAAAAGTTGAATAAATATATACAGTGAGGGAAAAAAGTATTTCATCCCCTGCTGATTTTGTACGTTTGCCCACTGACAAAGAAATGATCAGTCTATAATTTTAATGGTAGGTTTATTTGAACAGTGAGAGACAGAATAAGAACAGAAAAACGCATGTCAAAACGCATGTCAAAAATATTATAAATTGATTTGCATTTTAATGAGGGAAATAAGTATTTGACCCCCCTCTCAATCAGAAAGATTTCTGGCTCCCAGGTGTCTTTTATACAGGTAACGAGCTGAGATTAGGAGCACACTCTTAAAGGGAGTGCTCCTAATCTCAGTTTGTTAAATGTATAAACGACAACTGTCCACAGAAGCAATCAATCAATCAGATTCCAAACTCTCCACCATGGCCAAGACCAAAGAGCTCTCCAAGGATGTCAGGGACAAGATTGTAGACCTACACAAGGCTGGAATGGGCTACAAGACCATCGCCAAGCAGCTTGGTGAGAAGGTGACAACAGTTGGTGCGATTATTCGCAAATGGAAGAAACACAAAATAACTGTCAATCTCCCTCAGCATGGGGCTCCATGCAAGATCTCACCTCGTGGAGTTGCAATGATCATGAGAATGGTGAGGAATCAGCCCAGAACTACACGGAAGGATCTTGTCAATGATCTCAAGGCAGCTGGGACCATAGTCACCAAGAAAACAATTGGCAACACACTATGCTGTGAAGGACTGAAATCTTGCAGTGCCCGCAAGGTCCCCCTGCTCAAGAAAGCACATATACAGGCCCGTCTGTAGTTTGCCAATGAACATCTGAATGATTCAGAGGAGAACTGGGTGACAGTGTTGTGGTCAGATGAGACCAAAATCGAGCTCTTTGGCATCAACTCAATTCGCCGTGTTTGGAGGAGGCGGAATGCTGCCTATGACCCCAAGAACACCATCCCCACCGTCAAACATGGAGGTGGAAACATTATGCTTTGGGGGGGGGGGGTTCTGCTAAGGGGACAGGACATCTTCACCTCATCAAAGGGACGATGGACGGGGCCATGTACCTGTCAAATCTTGGGTGAGAACCTCCTTCCCTCAGCTAGGGCATTGAAAATGGGTTGTGGATGGGTATTCCAGCATGACAATGTCCCAAAACACATGGCCAAGGCAACAAAGGAGTGGCTCAAGAAGAAGCACATTAAGGTCCTGGAGTGGCCTAGCCAGTCTCCAGACCTTAATCCCATAGAAAATATGTGGAGGGAGCTGAAGGTTCGAGTTGCCAAACGTCAATCTCAAAACCTTAATGACTTGGAGAAGATCTGCAATGAGGAGTGGGACAAAATCCCTCCTGAGATGTGTGCAAACCAGGTGGCCAACTACAAGAAATGTCTGACCTCTGTGATTGCCAACAAGGGGTTTGCCACCAAGTACTAAGTCATGTTTTGCAGAGGGGTCAAATACTTATTTCCCTCATTAAAATGCAAATCAATTTCTAACATCTTTAACATGCGTTTTTCTGGATTTTTGTTGTTGTTATTCTGTCTCTTACTGTTCAAATAAACCTACCATTAAAATTATAGACTGATCATTTCTTTGTCAGTGGGCAAACATACAAAATCAGCAGGGGATCAAATACTTTTTTCCCTCACTGTAAGGGACATATAGACCATAGAAAGTTTTCAGTCCACTAGTTTGTGTCTTCAGTCTATCACAACAAGATAGTAAACCTGAGAATATATTGTTGATCACAGAGGTAAAAAAAAAAAGTATTGACAAAAGTGGAACTGAAAAGTTCCCACATGTAAGTTGCCTGATTAAAATCTCATACCCCCATGAATATGGCAGTACAATACTCACAGTTAATCACTTTATTCCATATACCTACACTACCAGTCAAAAGTTTAACACCTACTCATTCAAGGGTTTTTCTTTATTTGTACTATTTTCTACATTGTATAATAATAGTGAAGACATCAAAACTATGAAATAACACAAATGTTATTTATATTTGAGATTCTTCAAATAGCCACCCTTTGCCTTGATGACAGCTTTGCACACTTTTGGCACTTCATCACTCTCCTTCTTGGTAAAATAGCCCTTACACAGCCTGGAGGTGTGTTGGGTCATTGTCCTGTTGAAAAACAAATGATAGTCCCACTAAGCCCAAACCAGATGGTATGGCGTATCGCTGCAGAATGCTGTGGTAACCATGCTGGTTAAGTGTGCCTTGAATTCTAAATAAATCACAGACAGTGTCACCAGCAAAGCACCCCTACCCATACCATTACACCACCTCCTCCATGCTTTACGGTGGGAAATACACATGCAGAGATCCTCTGTTCACCCACACTGTGTCTCACAAAGACATGGCGGTTGGAACCAAAAATCTCAAATTTGGACTACAGACCAAAGGACACATTTCCACCGGTCTAATGTCCATTGCTCATGTTTCTTGGCCCAAGCAAGTCTCTTCTTATTATTGGTGTCCTTTAATAGTGCAATTCGACCATGAAAGCCTGATTCAAACAGTCTCCTCCGAACAGTTGATGTTGAGATGTGTCTGTTACTTGAACAGGGCTGCAATTTCTGAGGCTGGTAACTCTAATGAACTTATCCTCTGCAGCAGAGGTAACTCTGGGTCTTCCATTCCTGTGGCGGTCCTCATGAGAGCCAGTTTCATCATAGTGCTTGATGGTTTTTGCGACTGCACTTGAAGAAACTTTCAAAGTTCTTGAAATGTTCCGGATTGACTGACCTTCATGTCTTAAAGTAATGATGGACTGTCGTTTCTCTTTGCCTATTTGAGCTGTTCTTGCTATAATATGGACTTGGTCTTTTACCAAACAGGGCTATCTTCTGTATACCCCCACCCCCCCCCTCCTCCTCCACAAATTAACTTTTAAGAAGGAACACCTGTTAATTGAAATGCATTCCAGGTGACTACCTCATGAAGCTGGTTGAGAGAATGACAAGCGTGTGCAATGCTGTCATCAAGGCAAAGGGTGGCTATTTGAAGAATCTCAAACATATTTTCATTTGTTTAACACTTTTTGGGCTACTACATGATTCCATATGTGTTATTTCATAGTTTTGATGTCTTCACTATTATTCTACTTTGAAGAAAATTGTAAAAATAAAGAAAAACCCTTGAATGAGTAGGTGTTCTAAAACTTTTGACCGGTAGTGTATAGTAAAACCTGACTTAAGTCAGTTTCTGCATTTGAAGTTACAATGAGATCAAGCTACATGCTGGCAGAGAGATCAGGCAGAGAGATGCTGATGCATTTGACAGCAATGACAAAACCCTTCCAGCCAGCCCAAAATTGGTCCATATAGTTCAAGGTAAGAGTGTGGATATTGGTTACAGACTGTACTGTTTCAATATCCTAGTTCTTTTAACAGAATGTCAATAAATGTAAATCTAAACTGCATCAGCATTAGCCCGTGTGGCTCAGTTGGTAGAGCATGGCGCTTGCAACGCCAGGGTTGTAGGTTCGATTCCCACGGGGGACCAGTACGAAAAAAGTATGAAAATGTATGAGCTCACTACTGCAAGTCGTTCTGGATAAGAGCGTCTGCTAAATGACAAAAATGTAAAATTCATTCACTACCATGGATGAATGTTTTCTCTGAGCAGATCTACCATTCAGTTTTACCCCTAGGGAGCACTGAACAGCACTTTGACCGATGGCATCAAGTCAAAACATGAATCCATGGTAGCATGGGCACTTCCTTTTAGGTTGGACGATATTAAAATTTTCATATTGTCGATTTGCCCCCATTAGGCTTCTGTCTAGCTGCCCTAATACAGACACTTGCATGCTTACAAAAATAATTGTTATATATGGACAACACTCGACACACCGCTGTAGGAAACATCCAACATTAAAAACACTTGGTTACAGTACATATGCTACTGTCTGGTTGAATCCAAACACCTTGGTGGTGAGTCAGAGACACTCTTCTGTCCGAAAATAGGTTAGACTTACACTAAGTGTACAAAACATTCAGAACACCTGCTCTTTCCATGACATGGACTGACCAGGTGAACCCCGGTGGAAGCTATGATCCCATATTGATGTTAAATCCACTTAAATCAGTGTAGATGAAGGGGAGGAGACAGGTTAAAGAATGATTTTTAAGTCTTGAGACAATTGAGACATGGATAGTGTATGTGTGCCATTCAGAAGGTGAATGGGCAAGACAAAATTAGACCGGTCCGTTCCTTCACTTCAAGGTCTCTTACGTAAATCTCCTGCCATGCTCAGTCCAGACGTGCCCGGAAGGCTAAATGTCTTCTAGGAAAGAACTAGGAGCAAAACCAGCTGCTTTAGGTCTCCTCGTCCCATGGGCAGAGCTGTTTATGGGGGACGTAGTAGTCAAAGCGGTAGCCCTTGCTGCAGCTCCTGATGCCACACTTGTAGGGGTTGGCCTTTCCAGCCGCGCCCCGGCGGCTGCGGCAGTATTTGAGCAGGCAGGGGAGCCACTCCAGACGCAGGTGATAGCTGCAGACGCATGGCTGCCACAGGTCCAGAGTGGAGGGGCATCGCTGCAGACCAGAAACGTCCGCTGTCTGGGGCAGGGGCTCAAACTCAATGGCCTCTATTCCTGGAGAGACATTTTTACTTTTGATCAAAGAATGTCTGTTGAAATGTATGGCAATGAACTTAATGGCTATGCAGACAAACATCCAAAAGCTTATGGACACTTAGGCAACAATATGGAAAAGAAAGCTAGGATAGATAGAATGAAGACGTTCCTTTAAACACTCAAACAACACTAACAGAGAATCTGAATGGAAGCCAAACTCACCTTTATCCAGCCAATGCTTGGTGTCAGCTGTCCGGGTATAAAACCCCTCATGGGCCTCCTTACACACATTGTGGATGAGCATGTTGAGGTGCCCTACATGACTCGCGTTCACCGCCATGTCCATGTGGAGGTGTTCCACCCCACGCCTCTCCTCTGCCGTGCGGACCAAGTGGGGGTTCTTCTGTAGAATCACAACACAACAGCTACATTTTAAAATGCGAAGAAGTTCAAACAAGGACTAGTTGTGCTGGTAGAATAAATTGAGCAATGGAAGTAAGCTCCACCACTTTAGTGTGAGGATTAAAACAGTTTGGTGGGACACGTATAAGTCAGATAACATTTTGCAGGAAAATGAAAATTGCCTACAATAACATTTCTACATTATGGGCTAGTGATGACGATACTCTATTGAAGGTCCAGGACGAGGCTTATTCTGTGTCTGGGAAACCAGCCCTATAACATTATAACACAATATGGGTCGTTCCACCAATCCGGTGCCTTTTGAGAAGTAACAAAATAAAGTTGGATTTCACCTCATTTTAACATTCTGTCGTAAAGAGCACATGTTCAACTTCATAAAAACACGTTTTCCCATGAAGAGGTTAAATTTAAAAAGTACTATATCAAGTGCCTATTAAGTGCCACATAAAGTAACAGGGTTGACTGCATAATAGGGTTGACAATAAATCCCTTTGTGACAGGGGGAATGGAAGATTGCTGTGTGCAAACATTTAAATTGTTAAAAAATGTCTAGCCTGTCTATCTATGGGTAACAGGGTTGACATGTTACGCTCAATCCATTCAGTTTTCCCCCACAAAACACCAGAAAATGGCCAAAAGGAGTAGAGCCAGTTCACCTGCTTTTAAACTATGATATATTCAATGTAAAAAAATAAGGAATAGTTTCACTATATTGAAAAGACAGTTCGGTTCACGTAACAGGGTTGATTTAAAATGAGGGACAGACGTAAATGAATCACTAATCACAAGAAATAAATAATAATCTTCAGAAATGACTTTCTCAAAGCAACAAAATAACTAGGGCTTTACAATGATGGTGAAAACTTGGAGAAATGTTGGTGTTAAGTCTTCCTAGAAGTCACAGAGGGTACACGGAGAGACATGTCAAAATGCTGCATTTTGGCACTTTAGCAAGTCTTTATTCATATTAAAAAGAGATGTATTGAATTATCCATGTGGTCTATATTAAAGGGCACTTAATGTAATATAACAAGCTTTTAAAAATCAATATTGGTGCACAATTTATACTTAAAATATCAAAGGCACTCTTTCGCGGAAGGACCCATCTCTTATAATAACACAATCGGTACCGTTCCTCCACATCCAAAACCTGTCCCTAGTTACCTCTCCCTATGCCCTGTATGGGAATGATGGCCCAGATTATGAGGGAAGGTGGTGGTTTGATACAGCAGCTCACCTGTCTGAGGCGGGCCATGGACTCAGTGGGGATGATCTCGTGGTGATCAAGGCGCGAGACAAAGCACAGCACCTGGTATTGGTTCTGGCCTCGCTCCGGCTCCCCCAGGATCAGCGCTCGGACGATCCTCACATCCTGAAAAAAGAGAGAGACAGGAGAGAAATATGAAATATAAACAGAATATAAATTCACATATTAGTGAAACAATATACATTGAGTGTACAAAACATTAAGAACACCTTCCTAATATTGAGTTGCACTCCCCGATTTTGCCCTCAGAACAGCCTCAATTCATCGGGGCATGGACTCTACTAGGTGTCGAAAGCGTTCCACAACTGAGTAATTTCATTCAGATAAAGAAACAACATACATACTGCATGGCATAAGGGACCCTTCATGTAAAGGTGCTGCCAAAACTCCACTATGCGTTTGGCATAAGGATAATCCATAAATAAGTAACTATTATATCAAGTGTCATGTCTGTTATGAGGGCTGACCTGACCTGACCTGACCTGACCTGACCTGACCTTCACTGGGAACATGAGACCTGAATCCAACCCTATACCCACATCTGTCACAATGCTCCTCTGACTTCATTTTCATCTCAATGGCTATCCCAACATGCACACAATACTATGATTATTGTGAATACTCATATCAATATAATACTAAGATTAAACCGTTTACATGATTTACAAGAAGAACGTTTAACCTTATAATGTGGTTTACATGGACATATCTGATAATCAGGCTACAGTGCCTTCAGAAAGTATTCACAACCCTTTACTTTGTCCACATTTAGTTGTGTTACAAAATGGGATTAAAATGGATGTGATTGTAATTTTTTGTCCAATTTCTACACAAAATACTCTTTAATGTCAAAGTGGGAGAAAAAAAAAATATTTATATGAAAAATAAAACACTAATGTATCGTGATTAGATAAGTATTCAAACCCCTAAGTAAATACATGTTAAAATCACCTTTGGTGGCGATTACAGCTTTGAGTCTTTCTGGGTAAGTCTCTAATAGCTTTGCACACCTGGATTGTACAATATTTGCACATTATTCTTTTTAAATTCTTCAAGCTCTGTCAACTTGGTTGTTGATCATTGCTAAACAGCCATTTGCAAGTCTTGCCATCGATTTTAAAGTCGATTTAAGTCAAAACTGTAACTAGGCCACTCAGGAGCACTCAACGTCATGTTGGTAGGTAACTCCAGTGTATATTTGGCCTTGCGTTTAGGTTATTGTCCTGCTGAAAGGTTAATTTGTCTTCCAGTGTCTGTTGGAAAGTAGATTGAACCAGGTTTACCTCTAGGATGTTGCCTGTGCTTAGCTCTATTCCATTTATTTTTCACATAAAAAGAACCCCCTAGTCCCTGCTGATGACAAGCATACCCATAGCATGATTCAGCCCCCACCATGCTTGAAAATGTTAAGAGTGGTACTCAGTGATATTTGTATTGGATTTGCCCCAAACATAACGCTTTGTATTCAAGACATAAAGTTTAATGTCTTTGCCACATTTTTTGCAGTTTTACTTTAGTGCCTTATTTGCCAACAGGATGCATGTTTGGGACAGGCTTCCTTCTTTTCACTCTGTCAATTACATTAGTATTGTGGAGTAACTCAATTGTTGTTGATCCATCCTCAGTTTTCTCCTATCACAGCCATTAAACTCTGTAATGGTTTTAAATAGGGCTGAACGATTAATTGCATTCGCGATAATATCGCGATTTGACTGAACGCGATTTTCTAATCGCAACGTGCGCGATTTGAGGTGGTCACGTGACGCGACTTTTCATGCTGTCCAGCGCAATGGCCTCTTGCTCGACGGAACAGTCAGAAACTGACACAGCTGATACTTTAATATCGAAGAGGAACAGCACGTCGGTGGTGTGGAACTATTTTGGTTTTAAAAAAGAAGATGCTGAGCAGCGTCAGGTGTTGTGCAGAGCATGCCGTGCTCCGATTGCTACTTCACGGGGTAACACTACAAACCTGTTTCAGCACTTAAAAAAATACCACAAATCAATGCATGACAGTTGTATGACCAAAATGCCGAGCATCAGTGCGCGAGACAAGCCAAATACCTCAAGACAGGGATCACTGACAGAAATGTTCGAAAGTGTCACTCCGTATGAACGTAATTCAAAACGGCACGGAGAAATCACTCGGACAATAACCGAGTTCATAGCCAAAGATATGATGCCTCTCAGCACGGTGACCAAGCCTGGGTTCATGGCATTAATACATACACTTGATAAACGTTACAGTATACCCTCCCGCACATACTTCAGTCAGACTGCCATACCGGAGCTGTACAAAAAGTGCAAAGAGAAAGTCGCCGCGGAACTTAAAACGGTGGAGTTTTTTGCTAGCACTACTGATATGTGGTCAAGCCGCACAGCTGAGCCGTACCAGAGTCTTACAGTCCATTTTATTGATGAAGATTTCAACCTCCGAGCTCGCTGCCTACAAACTACCTACTTCCCAGACGATCACACAGGGGAAAATATTGCAGCCGGCCTGAGAGAAGGGCTTGTCAGCTGGGATCTCCACGAGGAGAATCACGTCTGCATCACGACGGACAACGCGTCGAATATGGTGCTTGCTGCGCGGCTTAATGAATGGACGAGGCTCCAATGTTTTGGCCACAGATTACATCTTGCCATTGGTAAGTTATCGTGTGTGTGTGTGTGTGTGTGTGTGTGTGTGTGTGTGTGTGTGTGTGTGTGTGTGTGTGTGTGTGTGTGTGTGTGTGTGTGTGTGTGTTTGTGTGTGTGTGTGTGTGTGTGTGTGCGCGAGTGCGAGAGAGAGAGATGCGTCGATTAGTAAAGCTGAATATACAAATATATATAAATGATATTATATAAATCGGATGGGATTAAATAAATTCATACTTCCACTCCTTTTCTAATATGTAAATTCATTTTACTTGCTTATATCATATGTCTGTCTGTGGTGGAATGCCCACCTGCATTTTTTTTCTTTTCTTGTTTTTGTTTTTTACATGTTTTTTTAGTGTTTATGAGAGAGAGAGAGAGAGAAAGAGAGAGAGAATTGACATGCAAATAAAGACCCTTTGAATTGAGAGAGAGAGAGAGGATGTGTTGTGGATGTGTGTATTTCAGAATTACAGCTAATTTGAGTGTGTAATAGTGAGAGCCTTGTATCAAAACTCAAATTGTGTGTAATACACTACTTTTTATTTCTTTTAGAAAATGCACTCAAAGATGACAGAGTGTCAAGGGCAACAGCACTGTGCAGGAAGCTGGTGGGGCACTTTTCCCACAGTTGGAAGAAGAAAGCAGCCCTGACGGAGGCACAGAGAGAGCTCAAACTCCCTGAGCACAACCTCATAACGGAGTGCCCAACAAGATGGGGTTCTAAAGAAATGATGATTGCCAGAGTGCTTGAACAGGCCAAAGCCATTTCTCAGGTATTGTCTGGAGATCGATATGCACGCTCCCTTATCCCAACCTGGCAGGATATTGACGTGTTGGAGTCGATTCACAAGGCACTGCATCCTCTACTGGAGTTTACTGATGCTCTTTCTGGAGAGGAGTATGTAAGCATCTCCTACCTCAAGCCAGTTCTCCACCTTTTTGCCACATCAGTCCTGGCTGAAGATGCTGAGGACACTGACCTGACTAAATCAATAAAAACCAAAGTCCTAGCATACCTCAATAACAAATATGGAGACCCAAACATCCAGGAGCTTTTGGATGTTGCCTGTTTCCTGGACCCTAGGTTCAAAATACAGTACATCAGTACAGACAACATCCCTGCTATCAAGACTCGTCTGAAGACAGAGATAGTAGACTTGGCACAACGTACATATCATTGGGTAAATAATTATGTATTTCACAAAAACAAAAATTTTCTGTAAAATCTAACTGGAAAACTAATGGCTGTTGTTTTCATCTAATAGGAGAAGAGGTCTCGTACTGAAACTGTTCAGATGCCTCAAAGTGCACAGTCCTTGGGGGAAAAGACGAAGAGGTCTCTTGGCAGTTTTTTCAAGACCAGTTCAGCCTCTCCTTCTTTGCCTGTAAATCTTGAAGATGTCGCAGAGGCAGAGATAAACAATTACCTGATGACTCCTACCATTGATGGAGAAGATGATCCATTGGCTTGGTGGAGGGTGCACAAGATCAGCTACCCACAGTTGTGCACCATGGCACGCAAGTATCTTTGTGTACCTGCTACAAGCGCTCCCTCAGAGCGTCTTTTTAGCACAGGAGGGAATATTGTGACTTGCACTCGCTCAGCCTTGAAGCCAGAAAAAGTCAATATTCTGGTTTTCTTAGCAAAAAACCTGTGAGCCACTGAGAACAGAACTGTTGGATAAGTATGGCTGGCAGTGCCATACTCGTAGTGAACTTTAGTCTGTGTGGTGTGTTATTGTTGTGTACTTGAGATAAGTGAGGCTCATCTATTTTATATTATAATATTCAAATCGTTTATAAAAAATAGTTTGTCTAAATTAAAAGTGCATTTCTCATTTTTTATTTATAACTTTATTTACTTTGATTTTACAAAATATTTTCAAAGCAAATTCCTTGTTTCAGTTGTGTGAAATGTTACTGACTTGGGAGCAGTAAGATACATACAATTTAAAATTATTTTTTTCTTAAGACTGTACCTTTTGCACACAGTGTTTACAAAGTTCATGCCTTTGTTTAAATTATTTAAATGCACAGTGGCAAAGCCACAGATGTTTCTGTAATGAGCAGTTCAATAAAAATGTCATTTATTTCAAGTCATACATGTTTGAATTTAATTCTAACAAATAGACCCAGCCTATGGGAAAGAACATTTCACACTAAATGTATATACTATTGTGTTGGTCATATTTAAATCATTCATTATGTTTTGTAGGGGAAAAAGGATAAATAAATTAAATCGCATATTAAATCGCAATCGCAATATTGGGGGCAAAAAATCGCAATTAGATTATTTTCCAAAATCGTTCAGCCTTAGTTTTAAAGTCACCATTGGCCTCATGGTGAAATCTCTGAGCAGTTTCCTTCCTCTCCGGCAACTGAGTTAGGAAGGATGCCTCTTTCTTTGTAGTGACTGGGTGTATTGACGCACCATCCAAAGTGTAACGAAATAACTTCATCATGCTCAAAGGGATAGTCAATCTCTATCTATCTTTTTTTTTTCATCTACCAATAGGTGCCCTTCTTTGCGAGGCGTTGGGAAACCTCCCTGCTCTTTGTGGTTGAATCTGTGTTTGAAATTCACTGCTCGACTGAGGGACCTTACAGATAATTGTATGTGTGGGGTACAGAGATGAGGTAGTCTTTCAAAAAGAATGTTAAACACTATTATTGCACACAGAGTGAGTCCATGCAACTTATTATGTGAGTTGTTAAACAGATGGATTTTGATGGGGATTTTTTTATTATGTTAATTTGATTTCCAGAAATAGAGCTAACCACAGGCAAAATCCTAGACGAAAGCCTGGTTCAGTCTACTTTCCAACTGACGCTGGGAGACAAATTCACCTTTCAGCAGAACAAAAAAATCTAAAACACAAGACCAAATATACACTGGAGTTCCTTGCCAAGACGACATTGAGTTAGGAAGGACGCCTCTTTCTTTGTAGTGACTGGGTGTATATTCAATGTCTGCTTTTATTTTTATTTTATCAAGCTACCAATAGGTGTCATTCTTTGCGAGCCATTGTAAATGAGAAAATTTGAAATTCACAGTTCGACAGAGACCTTACAGATAATTGTATGTGTGGGGTACAGAGATGATGCAGTAATTCAAAAATCATGCTAACCCTCAGAAAACTGAATACATGAATGTTCTTGCAACGTTCCATAAAACGCATCTAGAACATTAACACTATTATTGCACACAATGTGAGTCCATACTATGTGACTTGTTAAGCACATTTTTACTCTTGAACTTATTTAGGCTTGACATAACAAAGGGGTTGAATATTTATTGACTCAAGACATTTCAGCTTTTCATTTTTAATTCATTTGTAAAACATAATTCCACTGTGACATTATGGGGTATCGTGTGTAGGCCAGTGACCCAAAAAACTAAATTTAATATATTTTAAATTCAGGCTGTAACACAACAACATTTGGAAAAAGTCAAGGGGTGTGAACAATTTCTGAAGGCACTGTACCTGATGAGACTTTGAAAAATGCAGAAAATCGCCAATCAAAATAATCCTTATATCACAGCGATCATATTATTTTTGGGAAGCTTATTTGATTCTGAGTTCAGACATATACCGTTTGTATGTGAAAACTATTTCTAAGAAAGATAGTCTACTATCATTTCCGAACACACTTCACTCGCACCAAAGAGGGAGGCTTGTGAAAGCACATGCGCAGATCAAATACACTACATGAACTCTGATTAAGGTGTTTACATGTTCTAATAATTCAAAAGATAGCAAAAAAAAAAAAGGATTTTCATTCCGTTGACGCTTACTTCGCTTATGACCTTACCCTGATTAGGATAATGCCAAACTCAGAGTATTGTCATAATCAGTTTAATATATTAATATAATATTGAATAATTATTGTGCATGTAAACATACTAATTCTTAAAACGCCCAGTAGAACACAAAGCCGAGGTAAACATCCCAGTTGGCTGAGTAGACAAAGGAAGACAAGGCTATCTGAACAAGGAACAAGTCCTTTTCTTCTCTTCTCTTCATTTAACCATCCCATTGGGTTGACCTCCCTCTGAGTAAACAAGTACCATGATTCAAAAAACACTCTGGTCCTCAAGGTGGAGATGCCGATAATGAGGTCAGGGAAACTGTGGAGTGGTTGAGGTAAAAAAGACAAGAAGAAGGAGGAGGGGGAACTCTTGTTCCCCCACTGTGACGGTAGAACATCCAGAGGAGCAGATGGACGGGGTACACAGAGTGGGGGAGGGGATGAGAGCATTCCTGGAGGGGCCTGTGTACGACTCGACTCAAGGCAGGTTTCTTATGGTCGAACTCCAGGCCAGCTACAGGACTCTACACAGTCTACGCAACGAATCCGCAATGGATCCGACGGAGGTTAGTTTGCATAGCTCTCTACGTAGTTCTATGTACTTTTGTGAGGCTGAATTTTTGGAACGTGACGCAAGCGGAGCTCCGTAGCTCCATTTGCGTAGACTGTGAAATCACTGGGGGGGTGGGGGGGGGGGCTTAACCTATTAAGTGAGACATGATTTGGGGACTCACCCGACAAGATAGGAGGGATTCACACCGGCAGAGGATACAGAAACAAAGCTATGTAAATAGTGATAAGGCCGCATGTTGAGAATATCACTACAGTCTATGAACCAAAGCATCAAATGTCTTTATATAAATCCTTGAACAAAGTACCCTATAACATAACTTGACTAAAATGCTTACTGAACACACCAACACTGATAAAATCATCATGAACAAAAAACAATGTAAAATTTTACTTTCTCAAAGGATTGTATTTTACCAATAACTGCACTGACCTAACCTGTAGAAAACTGAAATCCAACCTAACAAGCTTCCATGGGGCAGCCAATAGCTGGAGGTGAGAGTGTGGAGATGAATGCGTAGTTGGCTCATCATGCATACAATCTGATAAGACCTGCATGGGTTGCTGCCGCCCTGGTTCTTCATGGGGACTGGGTTGGCATGGTAAATACCTCTCACTAACAGACAGAAGAAATGCACCACAAAGCCTCCGATGACAGGTCAAACTGCAGCTCCCATAGGGATGAAGTGAGAGGTGACCCGTTCCCTTCATCTTATCCCCATGCCATCACAACCTGGGACCAAACAAATGACAGATGGCTTGGGAATTGCACCGATGGTTGAACTGAGATGAATTCAACAGGAGATGTGTGTATGGTGGTGTATGGGGGAGATTTACATTTCTCAACTAGGGTTGAGGCAGAGGGATATTTTCCTGTTTTAAAAACGTAGGTTTCTTAAGGTCATGCTGTAATAGCGTTCAATGTATGAAGTGGATGTAACTTGTGGGCCACATGATCACCATTACAGTAGTATGCAACTGTCTACAATCCTGGGCACCTTTAACGTCACTCCAGCTGGGCAGACCTCTCACAACTGGATACAGATTGTTTCCTGTCTGGTAAAAAATGTAATATGGCTTGAAATGTCATGGTATTGACATTAAGGTCTGAAAGGCAGGAGTATTTTGTGGTTGCCCAAAAAGTTGAATAATCTGTTCACATGCAGAGGGAAGGGGAGGCATAGGGGAGGAACCAGAAACAAACAACAAAGCTGCAAAAAACACTTGAAAAATAATACCAAAATGCATCTGGAATGTTCAGCCATTGATGCTGGATTCTCTGAATATTGCACAGCTCATTTACTTCTTAAACAATAATGATGTTATTCTCTAGTTAGACTCTTTCCCCTTTCTTCACCCCCACTACACACCATAGGAAGCCAAATATTCCCTTCATTTTTTATTGCACCTTTTCAACAGGTTCCTCTACAAGATGAGCTGTCTCGCCTGTCTGTACAGTAACTCCAGTCTGGCAGCTGGCCTTCAGACCGATTCCAACTTTCCATAAATCTGTGTAATGCTGACAGGAGTAGATTGGAAGAACATGCATGGAGTGAGGGAAAGCTGCTGTCCAAATTGACTTGATCCAGACAGAAGAAAATATGTCCTGTTCCCCTGCCTGTTAACTGTAACCAGATAAGCCCACTGGGACTTCAGGAAAGTTTTCCAACAGCAGTAAAAAAGGCCTAATCACTGTAAGTATGAGTGATGCCAATGGGGGACAATAGTTGTATGACTCCTTGATTGCTCTACAAGTCAATAAGACGTTGAATGTGTCTGTAATGTCAGGATATTCTTGGTCATTGTAGGGAGTTCAGTAGCCAGGGCAATATCAAATGCCTGCTCAATCAGGGGTAGTTCACCACAAATCCTCATTAACAAACACTTGTATTGATTGTAATAATGGACAATCCAAAAAGATAAATGGGCCTATGTTCACAGACAATAACAATTACGATATAATTCCAAAAGTCTGTCCAAGAGGACTATTTTTCTTTGCTATTTCATCCCTTACAAAAAATGATTGGAGTAAAAGGGCAGTAACTGCAGTCGAATGTGGTATTTTGGAGGCAGTAACTGCAGAATAACGGCAGTGTACTGCAGTTACACTGCACTCTAACTGCAGTAAAAATAACTTATTTTGGATGCAGTATTTGCAGCATACTGTAGTTATACTGCACTCTAACTGCAGTTATACTGCACTCTGACTGCAATCTTTTTTCGTAAGGGATATGAAAATATTTGTCTGTAGGGCAACACAGCAGCATATAGATAAATAGATATACAGTAGGTCTATAGAAAATGAATAGGCCTTTATAATATAATGTCCAGGATATCTATATAATAGACTGCCTAATGGTGTGTGTGTGGATATATATTGGTAGTAACATAATGCAGCATATTACAGAGTTTTTAAAAACTGTTGTAAATATTTACATTGAAGAATATTGACTTAACTCACCCGTTTGAAATCAAATACCACAGTAATATGAGTACCATCTCCTTGCTTGAACTCGACTGTAATTGCATCATTCTCACCGTTGGCGTCCAAAATCTCCTCCCCAATTAGTCCATCACTTAAACGCACTCGTACTTTTAATTCTGAACAAATCCCAAGCGATAGAAGAGTTACCACTAGCAGAGAAATCCGAACTGGTGGCGATATCTCCCTTGCATACATGCTGAAACTCATGGAAGAACTTGAACTATTTAAAATCTGTCGACTACAATCGGGGTAAATAATCTTGAAATCGGTCGCAAATATTTCCAAATCCACGAAAAGTCTGCATGAAGTTCAATCCACAGATTTAATTCAGTATTGTGAAATCTCTGCAATGGTGGGTGGGCTACCATCCCGCATTGCTCGTTGTGTAGCCGGAGTACGTTCTATATTCTGATACATTGTAGCGTTTCTGAAGTCTGTGAAGATAACGTTTTTGCGCACAATCATTAGGCTACTGTAACATTTGCGCTCTTCGTTCAGACGACCTTAAGCAGACTTCTATTTTGGCAGCCTGCATAAAAAGTTGAAGTCCTCTTTTGAGTTTACTATCCCGTTCCCGTCACTTCCTCCGACGAACCAGTGCGACGAACCTACTGCACTGTAGGCCTATTGTGGTCAATTGCGGGCTCTCAAACCTAAAGAAATATCACTCCCCGAACAATAATTCCCAAGAGGCGCCAATGACATCTGTTGCAGAATAAATTAACTAATGTTCCATTGATCCAATAGTTTGCACAATAATACACTTAAGTGCATCAATGATGGTTGTGCTGCAGGTATTCTATTGACCATCCGCTTCGGTGGCGATTTTAGCATGTAAATCTTGGTGGGGCAAAAAAATAAATGTGTGGGAAGCGTGCCAGCAACGCCACTACACAACACAACACTAAACAATACATTAATTGCAATATAACGGTGACAAACGGTTGCGAACTCCTGAGTGGCGCAGTGGTCTAAGGCACTGCATCGCAGTGCTAACTGTGCCACTAGAGATCCTGGTTCGAATCCAGGCTCTGTCGCAGCTGGCCGCAACCGGGAGAAGCATGGGCGGCGCACAATTGGCCCAGCGTCGTCTAGGGTAGGGGAGGGAATGGCCGGCAGGGATGTAGCTCAGTTGATAGAGCATGGCGTTTGCAACGCCAGGGTTGTGGGTTCGATTCCCACGGGGGGCCAGTATAAAAAAAAATATGTAATCACTAACTGTAAGTCGCTCTGCAAAATGACTTAAAAATTTAAAAAAACGGTGCCCACAAACTGTTAGGCCCTACATAAAGCTGTCCCAACACCTTACCACTGCTACACCTGGCTATCAGGGAGTCTTGTCTGGCAGCCAAACAGTTAATTCAGCCTCATTTACTGCCTTAAAAAAACATAGCTGATATGGCTGACTTGCTTAAACAAATGTGCTTTCTGCTGGCAACTGAGGTGTACAAACTATGGCATAAGGGGACGACAAAGAACACCGGGGCATATAAGCAGACAATGAAAGCTCTTACAATATTCGATGATCACATTTCTCAAAAACAGGTTATAGGCTACATGTGCACCATCGAGTCAGAACAGTAGGCAAAATTAAGAGGTGAAAATAGACCAAATTATTAGGGTGAGGCACATGGGCTACTAACAGCTTACTACACTTAGTATTACATTCTTAGCTACAGTATACATATCTCCCTGGCATATTACATCATTTGTCCAGCAGCATATAAGACATTTTTGGACTCACCTTGTTGTGATGTGCTCACTTGAACAGGAAGGACAACTTTTGTAATCAAATAAATAATATGCCATTTAGCAGACGCTTTTATCCAAAGCGACTTACAGTCATGCGTGCATACATTTTTGTGTATGGGTGGTCCCGGGGATCGAACCCACTACCTTGGCGTTACAAGCGCCGTGCTCTACCAGCTGAGCTACAGAGGACCGAAAGAGAAAGAGAAAGAGAAAGAGGCCAGATTGTTGGATGACCATTCAAAGCGTATTTTCCCAGTCTGAGCTCGTTTATTCCCGACTTCCCAGTTGCAATGCTTGCAGTTAGCCACTGTCACCGATTCCTTCCAAACCACTCATTGTTGAATTTGCGATTTCTAACTTGTTGTGTAATGTTTATGTCCAATTGCCGATGAGCACAGATATGTTTTATCTATAATTTATCTTCATTATTTCTCTTCATATGACAAGGATTAAAAAGGATTTGCCAGTAGATTGTCGACTTGATTCATGATGATGACTGCTAGCTAAGATTTTGAAAGTAAGATGTTGACATGATCAGTCCAATCAAAGCTACTGTACATATAACTTGATTTGACATCATTTTATCTGTGGCCAATGACCATGAGCCTTCTTGGAAGGGCACTTCTAATGTAACTCTATGGCAGGACCCAAAGGGCTTGAATTTTCGATGTCTACCCTTACTAAGGACTTAGACTTGGCGGTGACGTAGTGTCCCCATGAGTGACAGAACACTGAGCCAATCACGGCGCAACGCTCCGTATTTTCTGCTGGCTTGCCCCACCACCACCACAGAAAGCACTGAGCAAGGCTGAAACACCTGCATTTTGGAGCTGCCTTACTCAAGAAAATAAAAAAGAGACCATGTTCGTATGCGGCTTTATTAACTCAATGATATATATACAGTGGGGAAAAAAAGTATTTAGTCAGCCACCAATTGTGCATGTTCTCCCACTTAAAAAGATGAGAGATGCCTGTAATTTTCATCATAGGTACACTTCAACTATGACAGACAAATTGAGAAAAAAAAAATCCAGAAAATCACATTGTAGGATTTTTTATGAATTTATTTGCAAATTATGGTGGAAAATAAGTATTTGGTCACCTACAAACAAGCAATATTTCTGGCTCTCACAGACCTGTAACTTCTTCTTTAAGAGGCTCCTCTGTCCTCCACTCGTTACCTGTATTAATGGCACCTGTTTGAACTTGTTATCAGTATAAAATACACCTGTCCACAACCTCAAACAGTCACACTCCAAACTCCACTATGGCCAAGACCAAAGAGCTGTCAAAGGACACCAGAAACAAAATTGTAGACCTGCACCAGGCTGGGAAGACTGAATCTGCAATAGGTAAGCAGCTTGGTTTGAAGAAATCAACTGTGGGAGCAATTATTAGGAAATGGAAGACATACAACACCACTGATAATCTCCCTCGATCTGGGGCTCCACGCAAGATCTCACCCCGTGGGGTCAAAATGATCACAAGAACGGTGAGCAAAAATCCCAGAACCACACGGGGGGACCTAGTGAATGACCTGCAGAGAGCTGGGACCAAAGTAACAAAGCCTACCATCAGTAACACACTGCGCCGCCAGGGACTCAAATCCTGCTGTGTCCCCCTGCTTAAGCCAGTACATGTCCAGGCCCGTCTGAAGTTTGCTAGAGTGCATTTGGATGATCCAGAAGAGGATTGGGAGAATGTCATATGGTCAGATGAAACCAAAATAGAACTTTTTGGTAAAAACTCAACTCGTCGTGTTTGGAGTACAAAGAATGCTGAGTTGCATCCAAAGAACACCATACCTACTGTGAAGCATGGGTGTGGAAACATCATGCTTTGGGGCTGTTTTTCTGCAAAGGGACCAGGACGACTGATCCGTGTAAAGGAAAGAATGAATGGGGCCATGTATCGTGAGATTTTGAGTGAAAACCTCCTTCCATCAGCAAGGGCATTGAAGATGAAACGTGGCTGGGTCTTTCAGCATGACAATGATCCCAAACACACCGCCCGGGCAACGAAGGAGTGGCTTCGTAAGAAGCATTTCAAGGTCCTGGAGTGGCCTAGCCAGTCTCCAGATCTCAACCCCATAGAAAATCTTTGGAGGGAGTTGAAAATCCGTGTTGCCCAGCGACAGCCCCAAAACATCACTGCTCTAGAGGAGATCTGCATGGAGGAATGGGCCAAAATACCAGCAACAGTGTGTGAAAACCTTGTGAAGACTTACAGAAAACGTTTGACCTGTGTCATTGCCAACAAAGGGTATATAACAAAGTATTGAGAAACTTTTGTTATTGACCAAATACTTATTTTCCACCATAATTTGCAAATAAATTCATAGAAAATCCTACAATGTGATTTTCTGGAATTTCTTTTCTCATTTTGTCTGTCATAGTTGACGTGTACCTATGATGAAAATTACAGGCCTCTCTCATCTTTTTAAGTGGGAGAACTTGCACAATTGGTGGCTGACTAAATACTTTTTTCCCCCACTGTATATATATCATTATATATCATTACATTGTTTGCAAACTGATATGTGCCACGTATTAATGCCAACATAACATGCAAACAGGCAAGCCCCCCCCCCAAAAAAAAAAAATGTGGGACTCTGCCCCACCTGCCCTGAATGACGGGTCGCCACTGATAAGCTTGATCAAATATCCCAATGATCTGTTCTTAGACCAAATGGCCCAATTATTATCCTAAGCCTAGGGAAAGTTAATATTGAGCTTGACCAAACTTTTCTAGGACATACAGATAGATCCCATGCCAAGCAAAGGATTGGTCAACTTCAAATCCGCCCCGTCTCTGTCCCCCAAAAAACAACACCATTAGATTGATTGGGTAAGACATGTCTTCTAATAAGTGTTATTAAACAGGTTTAACAGCAACTTAATGTAAACTGTGGGTCCTTGGGAGGTTGGAGGCAGTAGTGGCCAAGCCAGGAAAAAAGCCATATTACAACCTATGTGTTGTGATAATTGCCTTGTTTGCTCTATAACCTGTTAGTTCATATGCCTTGCCACCGTGATAAATAGGCCTAAGGCCAAGACAATAAAAAGACAGTGGCAGAACAAATTCAACTACACCTGCGTTTTATCACAAAACCGGAGAGAAACATTTGTCCGGTGAAGTCCACAAAGTATATTGCATGTAACAAACAGTTACATGACCTACTACAGCATGGTCAATCAAGTTAATGTTTCTGATATTTTCTGACTACTAAACAACTATTGAAGTCGCAAAGAAAACAGGAGCTGCCGCAACTATTCCAGCACCATTTCAACTTCATCAAATCACCTACAGTATGCTTAGTCTAATACAGTTACAACTAAAAGATACCAAACACAATTTAGTCCAATCAAGGTAAGCTACATTTGATGTGGCTGTCCATGGTTCTGATTTCTGTGTGTGTGCGTTCATGCAAGTAGAAAAAACAT